CAATCTGGTAGACTGCAATGGAATCAACCAACTCCAAGACAGCAATAACAACTAGGCCCTCAGACGCAAATGGACTACTAACAATTATAGGTCCTTCGCAACAAAGACGAATAGAACCTCTACTGCCCATTACACTTTCAGGGCCACGCTGCTACACTGACGCAATGCTCAAGCCAGACAACGACGCTAACACAAGACATGCAGGCTTAGGAATTTTCTTGCCACAACAACAAGGATCGGTGCTGCTTACTCTTTATGTGCAGGCACACATGACCAAACAATATTGGTTTTATTAGCGGAAGCAATGGCCATAACGCTAGCTGCACTCAGCACCAAGCAGCTGCAGCTCAATTCTGTCCACTTACAAATAACCAGGGGATGGCAGACTACTACAACTCCAATGATCTTGCCAACCCCTCACATTGGAATATCAAGATCATCACATGTACATTCCTAAACACAATGCAACAAAATCAATTCAAGGTCCACAGGATTCCAAGAATGATGAACTCCACAGCAAATGCACTTGCAAGACAACATTCATCTCTAATGTAGCAGCTCCGCACTTTAGCTCCTCCTCTATTCATAGAGAGTTTCCTCTGTGTCCTGTAAAATTAGCTCTATTGTCCTTACCTTTGGATGGCTGTATAGGTTAACCATATAAGATTAAAGTTTTTAGATTCATTATAAGAAGTTTTTGTGATATATAATTCTTACATGTTGTGAAACTATATATATTTTTTGAAACTAGTCTTCTCTCCGTATGAAAATAAGTGCATTTCTTGGATCCTCATAGAAGATCAACGCTAGTACATAAAAGTTACATATTTAGCCCGTCAAAAGCTATTTCAACATGTTATGACTTTACTTTAGAAGTAGAGAAAATTAAAAAAATTACTATAACTAGATGCACCATACCTAAAAGTGTACTTATTTAGAATAAATTTGAAATGTTGAAAGTGTATTTATTTTGGGACGGAGTGAGCGGAAGACACATTGGATTCATACTACTCCATCTATCTACAAAAGAATACAATTCTAGCATAGTAGCACGTTAAAGTATCTTGAATTTAACTAACAATACAAATAAAAAATATCAATATTTATAGTATTAAATAAGTATCATTAAAACTATAACGAGATATTTTTTGCACTATAATTATTTGATATCACCAATATTAATATTTTTATCCATATATTTGGTCGAACTTTATACATGTTAACCAAGAATACATGTAGAATTATATTATTTTGTGAATAGAGATAGGCCTCATTTGAATCATTTGGGTTATGAGAATCTATATAGAAAAACTCTCTAAATCCCAATATCTCATCCAAGGGCATGTTTGGCACAGTTTCACCAACAACTCCATAAGCTGTTGTGAGCTGGGTTTTTTTTTCAAACACCCTTTTTCAAAACAGCTTCACTCGTGAAGCTGTTTTTCTTCTCCTTCATAGAGAGATGAGTTGGGATGAAGCTAAAAAATATAGCTTATTCTAGCTTCATCTCCCATATGTGGACCCCACTGTGCATAAAAAGATTGCTTTTGCCCAAGCTCAAAGAGAGAGAGAGAGCATGCTCGTGGGAGGGAGGTGCCAGGGCGCGGCCCGCCGGGGAGCGGCCACCGAAGACATCTTTTTTGGACCCGCCGCCGGGCCGGCCGCCTTACGCGAGCGTGGCCCTCACCGGGGGGCAAGCTCGGCCACAGGCGGGCGCGAGCGTGGCCCTCGTGGCCGCGGGAGGAGATGCGGGCGGCGCTGCTGAAAGGTCCTTGTTTGGTTTTGATAATTGAGTGACAAGCTAGGTGGACTAATATGTGTTTAAGTGAAATACACAGGTGATTAGTCCACAGGAACACTTGTGTGAGCAACTCATGCCATAGAGGTGAAATGGTTTGGATATGTTGCAATGCTCACACATGTGATGAAGGAGCTCATTGCATATGATACATGACATTCAGTCATGTGACTAAGGTGGAGAAGATCAAGACAAGACCTGGCTTGATAGACCGGTTGCAAGCGTGAAGGGCAAGTTGGAGGCTTTGAAGCGATGGACCATGTGGCGGTGAAGCTTGAGCAAGACTTGGTGCCGATGGACAAAGGCAATGGTGAAAAGCAAGTGAAGTCAAGATCGATGAACCAACAAGGTCACATGATGATATGAAGTGGATCATATCATTTGTGATATGGTTGGTGCACGTGTTGCATCAACATTGAAGGAGATGAAATGGAATGCGCAAGGCAAAGTATAACCTATAGGACATTTCATTTCATTGGTTATAGGTGTGTAGAGAAGTTTATGACCAGGTTTAGGATAGATGGTCGTACTATCAAGAGGAGCAAACTTGTTTGCATATCGGTCATCTAGTGCCACTTGAGCGCTCTAACTTTGCATACATGTTAGGATCGACTGGCGTGGTGAAAGGAGTGCTAATCCTTTGAAAAATGATTGTGAAAATGCTAACACACTTGCACACGATGTTGTACACTTGGTGGTGTTGACACATTTGCAAAGGAGAAGTTGTTGGAGTTGATTTGGATCAACATGGTGAAGTTGGAGAAGAAAAGGAGAAGAAAAGAGCAAGTTTGGGTTGTCCGAGGGTCGGAAAACGCAACCGAACTTGTTGCTAACGCGCAGCCCTGCCTGGGGGGTGGCACCGCCCTTTCATGTGTGCACCGGACAGCCTAGGGCGGTGGCACCACCACCCCCTGCAACGTGCCCAAATCTGCACTACCATCCTTTCGTATTTCGGGCATAACTCTTAGCTCCGAACTCCGATTTCGATGATTTAGGACTTTTCGAAAAGCTAATGAAATGCCCTAGAAGTTTGAGGTGGTGGAAATCAAGTTTGAGCTGAAGGTGGCACCGTCATGGTCACCGAACTGTACGGTGCCTGGCACCACCATATTTTTCCAGAGAGGGGTGAAATCGCATTTTGGGTGCCGCGGGGGCACCGCCACCCCTAGGGCGGTGCACCGCCCCCCCTATGTCCGGTGCCAAGGTCTCAACGGCTAGTTTGAAATAGCCGTTGCAATTTGACCGTTGGGCATCGTCACCCTATGTCCGGTGCCTGCACGTTGCTGTCCGGTGACCACGTAGAAATATGCTACTTAGCTCCAATGGCTCTATTTGACTTGGGGGCTATAAATAGAGGTGGAGCTCGGGCTTGGCTGAGGTTGAGCACCTTGGGGATGTGTTGCCCTTTGTGTGGTTGGTTTGAGAGCCTCTAACTCACTTGTGCTTGCAAGAGTGCGATCCAATTGTGAAGTGAGCTATTTCTAGTGCGTTGCATTGAGTGATTGTATCGAGCGACACTAGGTGATCGAGTTACAAGCCGATGGTACTTGTTACTCTTGGAGGTTGCCACCTCCTAGACAGCTTGGTGGTGGTCTCCGTCAAAGCACGCAAGGAAGATTATGCGGTGCTATGGAGAAGTGAATGTGAGGGGTATTGTGCTCGTCCCACGGGAGCCGCGAAGAGCAACTCTGGTTGAGCGTGTCATTGAGCTACCCTCACTTGATCCGTAGGGTTCTTGCGGTGCCCAACGTGTGGGCTTGGTGTGGTGCCAATTAGTCGCCGAACCACCGAGTGAACGGTCGACACAACGGGGACTAATGTGTTGGCAAGCATGTAAACATCAGGATAAAAATCATCGTGTCATCCTTATCTTCCTGTTAGTTTACAATCCCCTTACACAAGCTTATAATTACTTTCATATACATTGTGCTGGTGTAGTTGCTCTTGTAATTAGTTAGTTTGTGTAGCTTGCTAGTTACCTTCTAACTTGTGTAGCATAGAAGTAGCTCTTGCGTGACTAATTTGGTTTGATTAACCTTGTTAGTCACGTTGCTTAGTTTGCGTAGCTAAGTAATTTACGCTCTCTAATTTGACTTGTGTAACCTGGTTATTGAGCATTGCTAGTGAACTTAGGAGCTTTGTGCCTTTTGCTTCACTAGTTTGTGAAGGAGATATCCCGGTTGCCAAAGTATTAGTCGCATAGGTTTGTGTGATTTTGCTACTAGAATTGATTAGGTGAGCTCTAAGTAGCCCGACACCTTTTTGCTTAATTATGATCTTTATAAGGTGCTAAAGAACTTAGATAGAGGAGTGTAATCTTTGCTAGACCGATAGTTTTAATTCCGTATTTATTTCGGTTAGCCGACGTGATTATTTTTAGAAAGAACTATTCACCCTTCTAGTCCGTCATGTCGACCCTATAGCTACCACCAAACCCGTCGTTGGGCGCAGCCACGGGGAAGGCACAGCCGCCGAGTCTCGCAGCTTTCCACGCGACGTGACTGCGTGCGGATGCCATGGGGAAGAAGATGCGCGATGGAAAAAATCCCGTGATAAAAAATAGAAAAAAATAAACAGAGGTCATTATAGTTATTTTATTTATTTGATCCATAATGTGATTCTATTCTGCCAAACACATTTTTCAAAACAGCTTAGCTTACATAGGAAGCTGATTGTGAACCTATTTTGGAAAAAATAACAGCTTTATTGGTGAAGCTAAGTTGTGCTAAATGAGGCCTAAATAGTCTAGATTTTATAGAGATTTTATTAATTCTTAGATTTTCGGAATCCTGAAATATAATAAAACTATTATAATTCCTTTTTATTCTGATCATCAGGATCCAATCAAACGGCACCGTAGAACTTCTAGCAGCTTCCTTGGTAAAGAGAACACCGAGAAAACATTCCGCAGACCAAAGGGTCACCGGAGCACCCGACTCGAGACGCCGTGCGCCGATTCCGAGACGGCGAAGGGGTCAGCCAGCCATCCATCAACGTTCAACGGGCGTTGGCCAGGGCCGGAAACTTTTGGGCGAGAAAAGCCAAAAGCCGCGGCTAATTAATCCGCCACCCACCAATGGAAGACCTCTTGTAATCCCCACCGCACCTCACAGTCTCCCGCGGATCCACACTCCCGCTCCGCTGCTCTCAGTCCCAGGCCCAGCCGACCAGCCCAGCGCGCGGTGGCAGCGTGCACACGGCAATGCGGAAGGACGCTGCCGCCGCCGGCATTGCGCCGGGTTCGGCGCCCACGCTACTCTGCTTCGACCTCAAGCCCTTCCTCGCCGCGCTCACCGTGCTCACGCTCCTCGCCGCCGCCTGGCAGCTCCGCCCGTACCACTCCCTCCTCGCTTCCCCATTCTCCGCCGCGTGCCCGCAACCCACCGCCGGCGCCTCGCTCCCCCGCGCGCTCGCCGTCCACGCCAAGAAGGCCTTCTCCGCCGCCACCAACTCCACCGCTTCCTCCTCGCCGCCGCCGCCCGGCCCCGAGCGGCGGGAGTTCCGCGCCGTGGGCAGCGCGGCGGCGCTGTTCGTGCAGATGGGCGCGTACCGCGGGGGGCCCTACACCTTCGCGGTCGTTGGGCTCGCGTCCAAGCCCACGCACGTCTACGGCAAGCCCTGGTTCCGCTGCGAGTGGGAGCCCAACGGCGCGTCCTCCTCGCCGCCGATGCGCGCGGCCAAGACGTACCACATGCTCCCGGACTGGGGCTACGGCCGCGTCTACACCGTCGTCGTCGTCAACTGCACGTTCCCGCGCGTCCCCAACGCCGACAACGCCGGCGGCAGGCTCATCCTCTACGCGCACTACGGGCCGTCGCGGTCCCCGGCCTCCCGCCACGAGCGGATCGTCGCGCTGGAGGAAAGCCCCGGCACCTACGACGCCGCCGCGTTCCGGGGACGCCGCCGCACAGGTACGACTACCTCTACTACTGCGGCTCCTCGCTGTACGGCAACCTCAGCGCGGCGCGGGTGCGGGAGTGGATGGCGTACCACGCGCGCTTCTTCGGCGCCCGCTCCCACTTCGTGTTCCACGACGCCGGCGGCGTCAGCCCCGACGTGCGCGCCGCGCTCGAGCCGTGGGTGCGCGCCGGCCGGGCCACGCTGCAGGACGTGCGCGCGCAGGCCGAGTACGACGGGTGGTACTACAATCAGTTCCTCGTCGTCAATGACTGCCTGCACCGGTACCGGCACGCGGCCAAGTGGACCTTCTTCTTCGATGTCGACGAGTACATCTTCCTGCCCGACGGCCGCACGCTCGAGGATGTACTCGCCGACCTTGAACCGTACACGCAGTTCACCATCGAACAGAACCCAATGTCGAGCAAGTTGTGCGTCGATAATCCGGAGGCCGACTATTCCAAGTAGGTGACTCCTTATTTCCCCCAAATCGATCTGAATTTGAATTGCCGAACTATTCCAAGTATGGAATTGCAATGTAGGAGTAGCTTCTTGTGTAGAGTAACACTGGTTGACTAAAAGGCCCAATTGTTTGTGGGTTTGCTTCTAAAGTTGCTGCCTTCTTGCAATGCCACTCTCATAGAAGCAATATAGAAGCGGATTTATGCAATGCAGCTTCATTTTCCCTGTCTAGTTTATGTTTTTCAGATGTCCAGAGAATAGACAAGTCAGATTACATGATTAGGAGTCACCAATTCAGTAATCTACTCACATTTCGATTGGCAATTGCTGCTTACAATGCAATCTTAGTTTCATGAGGCCGTTTTATTGCTCAAAGAAGTGATGGAATTGATTCTTCTTCACCTCAAACTTGTGCAGCCAATGGGGATTTGAGAAGCTGGTTTTCCGGAACTCGATCACTGGGGTGAGGAGAGACAGGAAGTACGCGATTCAGGCCAAGAACGCATACGCCACGGGTGTTCATATGTCTGAGAACGTCATCGGCAACACCACGCACAAGACGGAGCACCTCATCCGATACTACCACTACCACAACACCATCAACGTCCTTGGCGAGGTGTGCCGCGAGTTCGTCTCCATTCCGCCAAAGGGTGGCCTAACATGGTCCGAGAAGACACCCTGGTACTACGACGACAGCATGAAGCGCGTCGCCGATGCCGTGCGTGAGTTCGAGAGGGAGACCATCGGCGATCTGCGGCTATGACTGACCTGACCACAGAGATAAAAGAGCTGATCTCCAAGTACAGTGTGTATTGCTGTGAGCCATTCAGGAGGGGCTTGGCGACTGCATTACTGTCTTCCGGATGTTATGAAGCAGACGTTAACTGTGGTTTGGGGCTATCTGAGCTGACAGAGATGCAACGAAAGCGAAGCTGCAACCTCAAGGGGAAAATGGCAGATTGTGTGCCGGTGATGGCCCTGTGACTCTGATATGCGGCGAAGGTGAGGGTTCTTGTAAACAGATAGTATGTCATCAGTGTAAATTCCATTGTTTTATTGCTCAAATATACACATTGTACTCTCTTCTCGAAGTTTCAGCAATGTAGAAACCATTCAGAACCGTGCTGCATCAATGTAGATATGATTATTTACGGCATTATTTTTAACTTCGTCATTTTATTGGAACCATATGATGGAGAGCCTAAGATGTCAGCTGTTTTTTTTTCTTTTTGGCGTAGTATTATGTGAGAGAGAATAAGGTGAAACAAGCTGGAACATGACCAGCCGAACAAGGTGAATAATCTGGAGTAGTAGAGGCCTAGATGGTTTTGGAATTCTTGGGGCCATAAAGGCTTGCAGCTAGGAGAGCCTAGAAATGCAGAGAGAAAAAGAAAAGTAGGGACCGGAGGGTGGGCACGGCGCCATGGACTGTAGCGTTGTATGATTGGGCAAGGTTGGTTTTTGCTGGTCCATTGCAAGAGGCCGTGGTATGCAGAGCTGCTGCTGCTGCCTTCCTTGTCATGGCATTCCTAGATGTTCCTTCCTGCTCGTTGCCTGGTGGGCCAAATGCCCCATGCCACATTTGTTGGCGCGTTAAGGGTGACTATTAAGGGTCTCCATAAGATCAACTCAAGCCACTGTGTCATTTCGGTTCGATGTCACGTCGTCATTTTCGCGGTGGATTATTAATTGGTTAGTGTCCTATCAATCACCTGTAGATTCTTCAAAGTTGTTGAGTTTCTCTCCTTTTTCTGTTCAGATTTAGGATCATTCCTTCTGTTGGAAGATTGGAAAATATTTTTTTTAGGAAAGATTGGAAATTATTTTAGTACTGTCACCACAATTCGAGGATGCGGGAGTTTATGCTCACAAGTCGCAACGAGCTGGTGAGAGTGACACGTACTCCGTACTCTGAATATGGCAAGAGGCAATCCCCACAATTACTAGCACAACTGTTTTTATTCTTGCAGAAGCAGGGACAGTTGCATGCTTGCTGTAAACTCCCGTTTTAGATTTCTGAAGAGCAACGTTTGGTTCCGGACTGGAAAATGGGAGATTCCTCAGAAATCTCCTGCTGTAAACTCATGTTCTATATACACATGTAATCCAGCAAGGCATTCTTCTGTGCTAGGTCTACATAGTCCTGTTCGTTTAGTTGAAATTTGGCTTATGCTGATTTTTATGCTGATTTGTTACGAGAAAAAAACGCTGTCGAGAAGTACCGTCAGTTGTGATACGCCCAGGGATGAAAACGGTACGGATATTTTCCGACCGTATTCGAAACCGAATCCGTTTAGAGGGGATGAGATATATCCGTATCCGAGTCCGGATATCCAACATCCGATACCGTATCCGTATCCGAATACTGAAATCGCATATTTATTATATCGATATCCAATCGTATCCTATCCGACATAGTTGACACTATCCGTATTCGAATCCGAATCCGGACAGAAATATGAAAACAAATGTAATATCGGTGATATCCGTCAATATCCGATCCGTTTTCATCCATAATACGCCGGTCGTAACTGTACGATTAAAGTAGGACGCCCACCCGGTGCGCTGGATTCGGTTCCAGGCAGGCTCCCAGGCCCAGGCTTCCAGCAGAAGAAGAGAAGAGACCTGTCTATCCATCCACACGCAAAAAGGAGCGAACAGGACCCGGCAAGCGGCAGGCAAGTCACACGCGCAGCTGAGGCGACAGGCAGCTTGGTGATCCGTGGCCCGTGGCCCGTGGCCCGTGGGGATCCACGGACGCTGGGAGCCGTTGTGGACTCACAGCGCGCCGGGAACTTGACAGTGTTTTTTCTGACTCTCCGAAAAAACACAGAGTTTTTACGCTTGCGTACGAGCGTGGCCAGGAGCACTCCAGACTTTCAGAGAGTCAGAACAAGTGTTTCAGAGGATTGAGGTCCCGGGACCCGGGAGCTGCACAGTTGCTGCTTGTCAGTCATCTGTGCATCTCGTTACAGAAGGGCATGATGTGGTGCTACAGTTGCTTCTTAACCTTCGCAACGTGGTTTCAGGGTTGGTACAGGGTACAGGGATGCATATGACTGGACGAAATTGTTAGGAGCTGCCAACAACAAATGCGTACTCCTAGGCAAGAAAGATCATGTGGAGCCCGTATCTGCTTCCCTAGAATGTGTACGAGATACCATAAGGGCCCAATATCTCAATAGCACTTGTCCAAAGCTTCGAATGAGACTGAATATCCGAAACGCAGGAACGATACTAGAAAGTCATTCAAAACTTGATCGAAGAACCATCGTTTATTGAAGAAGCTATAGAGTCGATTACAAAAGGTACTAGTTTGAAAGGCTCGTTGGAATTGATCCGCTACGAGATTGACATTATACGCTAGAGAAGCACCTGAAGTACTAAACATAATAGGTATTAGTTTTGTAATGGTTGGAGCAGCAAACTCGGATTCGGCAAGAATCTCATTTTTTTTGGTAGTACGAAGAGGGAATTGGCCCAAAAATTGGATAGGGGTAAAGACACAGCCGGGTGCCGGCGGCTTATTCAAGTGCCCCCCGAACTGCGCGAAATGGTCGCCTATTACACGGCTCACAAACTCTGCCTGGGGTGGGGGATAAGTTTTTTTCTCTCGATCCGACATCTTACCCGTATTTCATTAAGAGGAAGATTTGGAAGTCATACAAACGAACAGACCTAGAACGCGTCTGGCGAGGAGAGAACCAAAGACACAACCACCACGAGGGCAGCCCTAAACTACCAGGTTTACATTGATCGATTACATATTTATCTTTTGTCGCGACCACAATGGGCAAAGTGCCGCTAAAGAGAGACGACGTAGAAACTATGTTTCTAGGCGGCTCGAACGGGCCGGCGAGCCCGCTGCTTCATGCCCGGGAAGAGCACCTCCGTGGCTTCCCTGGTCGTCGGCGAAAGCAGGAGCTTGAACGCCATCTAGAACTTGTCAAACGAGGCCTCGTCGGGCAGCTGCATCTCCACTTCGACACCAATGCGTCTCATCATTACCTTGCGTGCATGTGCCTTCGGCTTCTGCAACCTGTTCTTGCTCTTTGCAGCGAGGCAGGCGCTTCTCTTCGGGATCTGATCACGGCAGGCCGCCCGCGCCTTCTCCGCCCGTGTCACATGAGCACGCGGCGGCGCGGAGAGTAGTGGCTGCGGCAGAGTCTTCTTGAAGACGTTGATGAACCCATCAGCGGCCAACGTCTCTGGTTCCTCACTTCCCCCGGCGACAACGGGCGAAGCTGCATCGGCCTGTTCACCGTCCGGCACGTCCAGGAAGTCATGGGCCACGGGTGTTGTGCAGCCACGCGACGGCGAGCTGTGGCCCGAGATGTACTCCTCCGGCCCAGAGAGGTAAAGATCCACCTCATGAGCCAGCCCGCTGGAGAAAGTCACAGCATCCGCACAGTAGTCCCGAGCACCAAACAGAAAGTCCACCCCATCAGCCGGCCCATCCGGAACGAAGGCATTGTGGCCCGAGAGCAGCTCCATTTCCAAATCTAGGGCGGACCCCATGAATCCGCGATGATGGGAGCACGACGAGCGCACGCCGCGTGAATAGAGGTCGACAGAGTGGGCGTCCGCGGCGCGGTCGCGTCCGCTGACAGCTTTCTGGGGTGTGCACATCAGCGCCTCGACGAGCATAGGGTCCTCGACTGGTGACCTGACAGGAGAGGGTGAGCAACGAGGCGAGGGAGGAGTCAACTTCCTCCACGACGCCCGCGTCGACAGGCGTCCTCAGCGTGGCGGGTTTCGCGCTGACGCTCCCACCACCAGGCATGGCGCCGCGCGGCACCTGGAAAGGGCAAGTCACATCACCAACGATAACTGACTGCCTCGACTGACGTGCCCGAAAGGCCGGCCCCGACCTAGGCCCAAGCCGTGGCTCATCGGCGCCGCCGAACCTAGTTGTCCACGGCCTTGCGCCGCCGCCGCCCCTGGTGGCGAAGCCTGGATGGTAGCCATTGAAATTACTATCACCACTGTCATCACTGCCATCGGCACCCATCCACTCATCCCACGACGTTGGCGGGGTATGCCAATCCTGAAACTCGATGATCCGCAGGCGAACAAGGTATCTGAGAGCTGGGACCTCATCGTGGATGATTTCGTGGGGCCTGAGGTACAGCGGTGAGCCGCCATCGTGCTCCTCCTCCAGCTCCGGCACCGCCATAATCATCTCATCCGGCACAAGATCGGGATGAGCACACCAGGCTGCCACGAAAAGTTCACGCTCGTCGTCCGGATCGGCCAGAGCGTCGAAGTTGGCAATATCCACCTTGGCACTGGAGGAACCCAAGATGTCCTGCGCCGTCGCCACAGACCTTGCATGGGAGGGGATGCCCTTCATCCCGACGAGGACACGATAACGGAATGCGCCTGCTGAGCCCATGATTAGGCGGCTCCACCTTCACCACCGAAGCACGAAGGGAGCACCCGCCGGCAATGGGGTGCGCAGCACCAGCTCGAGGTCTTCATGATTGGTGAACCGAACGATGAAATCATCCGGTCTAGTCCACCACACCGAGACACGATCGTCTGTAATACCGAAGTGTTCGCGGAGGTGGTCGAGCATCATCGCCAGGGAGACTGCCGGCCGAGTGCCCACAACAAGGGCCAGCAAGGCAAGCGCCAAGGCGTCTTTCGCCGCCTGTAGCTCCGGTGTCCGGGGCACCAAAACGAGTTGCAGTAACGGCGTCGTGGCCCGCGTCCTGGGCGACGCCGGAGGCGCCTGCACACGACGGAGAAGTGAGCGCGGGA